AAGTCATGAACAACCTCCAATTTTTGCGTGGAGATGGTAATAGAGGGAGGTGAGTCCACGCCCTGGCCCATGACTTGTGTTTTCTTCAGGCTGATTGTTAGTCCAAAGTCTTGGCAGGCCTTGCTAAAACGATTCATGTGTTGTTGGAGGTCTTCAGCAGAGTGGGCAACAATGGCTGCGTCATTGGCGAAGAGGAAGTCCCGCATGCATTTCAGCTGGACTTTGGTCTTCGCTCTCAAACTCAAGAGATTAAAGAGCTTTCCGTCTGATCTGGTCCGGAGATAGACACCTTCTGTTGCAGTTCCAAAGGCCTGCTTCAGCATGACAGCAAAAAAGATCCCAAACAGGGTCGGCACGAGGACACAGCCCTATATCACTCCAATTCGGATGTCAAAGGGATCTGATGTTGAGCCACTAAAAACTACAGTGCCCTTCATTCTCTCATGAAAGGACCTGATGATGTTAAGGAGCCGAGGTGGACATCCAATCTTGGGAAGTATTTTTAAAAGGCCATCCCTGCTAACCCAATCAAAGGCCTTTGTGAGATCTATGAAGGCCACAAAGAGTGGCTGTTGTTGTTCCCTATATTTCTCCTGCAACTGTCTGAGGGAGAATACCATGTCAGTGGTGGATCTATTAGCTCAAAATCCACACATCTGGAGTTGCTGGATTGGGATGAAGCTGCTCTAGACTGTATGAGCACATGCTTTTTTGATGAACAGTGACCTCCCTCCAAAAAAAATCTCCCTCAGCTCTGAAAAAAAGAGCCTGTATGTGACACACTGTCAGTCATCCTGATGTCCAAGGCTGCCCAACTCAGACGTTCCCAGAGCCCAATGCCAGTGGGCATCAAGCGTCTCACGGACGGAAGACCGGAGCAAGGCCATGAACTGGGATGCCCAGAAGGCGCCAAGCGATGCGGGGGGGGGGAATCGTACAAACCGGAAGCACGGTCCATCTGAAGAGTCAGCCGGGCAGGGGGGGCAAGCTTCTGGGTGACCCGAAAGTGGCATCTCAGCAAAATGAAGCCAAGCAGAAAGCGGCGCCCTGCTGCTGACCTCAGCAGCTTTGCCTCCGGAACAGGCGCTCGGCTGGCTTAGGCCGACACGGAGCCTGGATCACCACAGGGCACCAGCAGAGGACAAAGCCTTTTCTCTTGATGGGTTCAGAAGGCTCGGGGACCTACCTGTCTGCGTGTGGTCAAAAATCAAATCCTTTTGACTCTAAGAACCAACATTTTTCGGCTCTTCATTGTCAGCAACCATCAGTCAAATCTTTAAGTGTGTGTGGGGGGGGGCTTGGGTTTTTGTTTTTTAAAACACCCAGATCCCCTGGCAACGTACTCTCTAATTTTCAGCCTCGCTCCGCCTCTCATGCTTGCGGCTTCTCCCCTGTGTGCACACGCAACACCCCCACCCAGTGTGTGCAGGGTTCCGCACCCCTTAGAGGGATCCTTGCCCCCGGTTAACTGCCCCAGTTTCCAACAGACCCAGCCAACTGGGTTCAACAGGATGTGCTAATACACAAATAATGCTAGGCACTTTACCGCCGCCTGCTAATAAGGCCCAGCAGCTCACAGAAACAGGTTCCCTTTTTGGAACAGACGGCTTTCTTGGCCCTTACTGTGGGTAGGTCTGGGCCACTTCAGTGGATCTGAGGGCCGAGTTCTAAACCCCAGGACCCACGGTGGGCATCACAGTGGCTTTGAGAGAGGCCATTTCTCCCAGCCTCTTTGGTCTACTCTGTGCAAATGTTTCTGTTCTGATGCAAGCCACTCACCAGCAGAGAGACAACTGTGCTAGAATAGAAAGCCAAGTCCTCGATGATCTCTGTGCGGCGGTTGGCTCCGATGCGCAAGGACCGGCTGTGGACCTCTTCCGGCAGCACCGTCAGGATTTCCAGCAAGAAGGGCAGTGACGTCACATCGTTATTGTACCTGGGGAGCCGAGGGGGGGGGAATGCTTCAGAAGGAGGAACCAGCAAGTGTGCTAAACCTCAAGGCAATGGAAGGCACATGCCAAGCAAAAGGGAACTCATCGTCTCAACCTCCCCTGGCTGCACCAGCTAGGGGACGATGGGATTGATAGTCCAACACAGCTAAACAGCACCAAGCTGGGGAAGCTAGGGTACAGATTTTAGCTCAGAGCCTAAATCAAGTCCTATGTGTCAAATATTAGGGCCAGAATCCCCCAAAGCAGATGGGGGGGGTGCCCTCTTATGACAAACCAGGGTGCCTTCCAGAGAGACTCAAGCTTCCGGTTTCAAGCGGCCAGAGTGTGGCTTCTCTCAAGAGAAATGAAAGGTCTGGATGAACCCCATAAACTGCCAGGGAGCCCCTGATACAAAAAGGAGGTGGCCCTGATGGGTGCCCTGAACAGGACACCTGCTCAGTGAGCCCAGAGAGGGATAAGGTGGACACAGACCGAAGGGTGGAAGGGGAAAAAAACCCGCAAGTGTCATAGAACAAAGCTATGTTTCAGCGACACCATCCCCTGCTTTTAAAAAATCTTTTAACTGGACCTAATGTACAACACGAGATGATTCTTCCATTCTCAGATCACGTGACAAGGTTGCCAATTTAATGGGTACTGGCTGCCTGTATGCTTTCGAGCCCAATACCACAGGAGGGCCAGCGTCCAAGCAGTGAGCCAGAAGTGGCCCAGTGGCCTTCTTGCATGCTCCTTAGATGGATGGGGTGGGTGGAAGGAGGGAAGGAAGGAAGGAAGGTAGGCTCATGTCTCGGGGGGGGGCGCATTCTCTATTTAATGATAATTGCTCCCTGGGTGCCCATCTCTGCCCTACCAAGCCTGAGTCCAAAGTCACTGAAGAGCCCTCTGATTCCACACAATTCTGCTTATCTATTAAGAACCTTCAGGTGTGCAATCTGATAATGCCCTAGGTATGCCTGGCAAGTGGGCAAGAACTATCCTCTGGAACATCCGTTCTCTCAGTCTCTCTGACCCCTTAAGCTTTAGCCTTTCAGAAAGATGGTAATAACATGCCTTTGATGCTGAACAGAAAACTCCAGAGATGCCACTGTCTTCAGGAGACTCAGCCACCTCAAGAGGAGACAGCCATAGATGCTCTCCCACCTGAAACCCAGCAGCTGCCCACCGTGTCTGGAAGAGCAGCTATGACGCCGGGAGCCCCTTTTCAAAGGTGTTAAAGACCAAGCCCGCTCTTCAAACCATGTATGCGAAGCTTCACCTGAAGGAGAGGCTGCCTGTAACACCTACATGCTGCAGTCTGCAAAACTATGACATGCTAGAAGGTTGTAATGAGCTCTTTGGGGGTGGGTGTTTCAGGAGAGGTGGCAGAAGAGAAACTGAAGACCGAAAAGGCCGAACCACTTACTTTTCAACCAGTGTGTGCACGCAGCCTTTCCAAGAGGCCATTTGTAGGGCGAGGTCTGCTATGGCTAACGCAAGCTGTAGAGGGGGAGAAAAGACAAGGTGAAGGGCCAGCACTACCAACCTACACGCAGACACACCCAACAGCCCCACCATGCGGCGGACGCTCAGCTTCTACGATAAGCCCTGCCCGAAGAGAGGACTCCAGAGGCCTGCGGGAGCAGAACCCTTCCCCGGGAATTCGACCAAGTCGGCTCTGATGACGGGTAAAACTTGCCCACCGGGGCTGCTCCCCCCCAAGGCTCCGTGCGCCTGAACAGGTGGGGTGCTCACCTGGGTGACGATGACAGGGGACATGTCTTTCAAGTTCTGGATGTGGGAAAGCAACGAGTCCCGCAGCGAGACGTGCGAGTCTGTGGGGAGCTCGTAGAATGAGGTCTGGATTTTCATCTTCATGGTCTGGGCGGCAAAGTAGCAAGACTCGACGTCCTGCCGGATCTGCAGCAACTGGTCGGAGACCTCCCAGGCGTGGACCTGATACAGGAGACAAAAGGGGAAATGATCTCACCTGTCCAAGAGGGGAAGCCGGAGAAGAAGAGGGTCTTCCCACAACATCACATGCCTTAATAGGTTTATTTCATCAGGGGGAAGGGGGAAAAAAGCAAGCAACCTCTGCTCTGATCACCTAACCCAGTGAGGGTGAAAAGAGGGGAAGCCGGAGAAGAAGAGGGTCTCCCCACAACATCACATGCCTTAATAAGTTTATTTCATCAGGGGGAAGGGGAAAAAAACAAGCAAGCTCTGCTCTGATCACCTAACCCAGTGATGGTGAACCTTTTTGAGCCCAAGTGCCCAAACTGCAACACAAAATCAACTTACTTCTTTCAAGGGGCCAAACTGCAATTAAAACCCGAATACTGAGGTTTAGTTTAGGACTTCTTCCAAAAAAAAAAAAAACTGCTCCTGCACTGCAAGGGTTAAATGCTTGTTAACACCACCAATGGGCGGTGTTAACAAAAAAATACTTACTGGTCCTCCAATTTCCCCATTGGGCTAGACCGGCAGTAGTCGCCATGGTGCCCCCTCCACTGGACCACTGCACCAGCAGAGGGGAGTGCCGAAATCTGGGATTGGAAGACGGGTAAGTATTTCTCGATGGCGACTTATGGCTTGTGTGCCCACAGAGAGGGCTCTTGTGTGCCAGCCGTGACACGCCTGCCATAGGTTTGCCATCGCCAACCTAACCCATCACAAGAACTTAAACGGGTAATAAACGCAAGAACGCAGCTCCCGGCACAGTAGCGGTCTGAGAAATCTGGAAGCCCGTGGACTTCTCTCACGGGCACCTTGCTAGCCCTTGGGATGGCATAGGGCACTTTGAAAGTACCTGGATCACTGGGGCCATTTCGTAACTGGAGAACCCCTCGGGGCAGATTCTTAAGTGAGTCCCCCACAAGGGCCTCGGTAATTCCCTCCTGGTCAAGGTACGGCTGCACCTTTCAGTATGTCAGCAAGGGCTGGGCTACCCAAGCTTGAAGCCAGAGGGGAGCCTCTCTGACTTCCTCAATGCCATCGACAATCACAGCTACTGGAGGACCGCTTATCCTGAGTGGGTTGATTTATAAAACAAGCCCATGGCCTTCAGTTTTCCAGACCTGAGCAGAGCTGTGGAAGAGAGGAACGGCAGACCATCATTACTTGTTAAAGAGTCACTATCTGTTGGAAATAACTGGAGGGCAGGTGATGAAAACACACATGGCAGTCATTCATCTTGCATGGGAGGGGGAGGGGAGGATGCCTCCCCTTCAGAATGCCTCTGGTGTGAATGGAGGGGGCATCTGCTCGCTGCTCCAGTAACCTCAGCCGACTCAACTGCTGAGAGTCAGGTCCCCCGCCTGACCCCTCCATTTGCACTGTCCCAACTGGGTGCTGGTTCACCAGAGCTCACCTGGAGAAATGTGACCTTCCAGATACTGCTGGACTAGAGTTCCCATCAACCCACTCCCCATGGGCTCTGACATCCAGGCAGACCGGGGGGGAGGGGGATGGCACGCAACCCAGCAAGATCTGGAGAGCCAGAATTGTCCACCCCTGCATTGGAACATAAGAGCCTAAGAACAACACTGTGCTGGATCAGGTCAAAGGCTCCCCTGGCCCACCTTCCTGTATCTCACACTGGCCCCCACACCGGATGCCTCTGGGAGCACACCAGACCACGAGAGTCCTGCCTCCTGATAACCCCTCCCGTGCATCTGGCCTTTGGAGGTCCCTTCCTTCAAAGCCTGGCGATGATACATCCCCATCATGACTTATCACCTGCAAGGGACTCTTCCCTCCAGCAATCTGTCCAATCCCCTTCGAAAGGCCTCTAGGTCAGATGCCACCCCCACATCCTGGGGCAAGGAGTTCCAAAGACTAACAACACGCTGGGCCAAGAAACCTTCCCTTTGGTCTTTTCTCCTTCTCCCAACCCTCCATTGGAGTAGAGGTCCTCCGGTTCTGTCTTGCGTGAGAGGGAGAAGAGCTTCACGCAATGCTGAGAATGGAGTTTGGGGGGGCGGGGAGGGAGAACAGCACTGTTTGAAAGCCCTGCTCATGGACCGAGGTTAATCCCACGTCAGACCCTCAAAGCAGCAGGCATTTCACTGGTGCCTCAGCCTCTCCCTCTTCTCCCCTCTACCCACCGACCATGTAGCGCAAGCTGCCTTGCAGACCGCGGCACGGATAAGCAGCCTGCCCCGATTAACCACTAGGGTCACAAATGTAGGTGAGCTGGTGAGAGTTCCTGTGGGCTGGTAGGAAGTTACTGGCTGTTCCATCTGCGGGATCATTTGGGGGCCAGACCAGAATACAGTGGTGCCTTGCTTGACGACGTTAATTTGTTCCAGCGAAATCGCTGTAGAGCGAAAACACTGTCAAACGAAATAAAAAAGCCAATTGAAACGCATTGAAAACCGCTCAATGCGTTCCAATGGGCTGAATACCTGCTCGTCCAGCGAAGATCCTCCATACGGCGGCCATTTTCGGTGCCTGTAAAGTGAGGAATCCCTCCTAGAAAACAGCGGGGGGCCATTTTCTTCAGCTGGCGGCCATTTTGAAACCCGATGATCAGCTGTTTGCTGATTGTCGTAAAGTGGAAATCGGTTCCCAAAGCAGGGAACCAATCATCGCCAAGCAAAATTCCCCCATTTAAAACATCATGTTGCGATCGCAATAGTGATTGCAAAAACCTCATCGTAAAGCGATTTCCTCGGTAAGTGAGGCAATCATTAAGCGGGGCACGACTGTACTGTACTTTGGCTCTGCCTTTCCCTGCCCTGTCCAGCAGATACAGACGAACCAAGATAAGACAGCTAAGACTAAACTCCAACCCACTCCAGCGTTCTGTTCACACAGGAGTCAACTAGTTGCCCCCGAGGATCCGGCCAGCAGGAGACGGGTGCCAAATGATCCCCCATCTTGCATCCCACTGCAAAAGGAAGCACGCTGATCAATAACCTTCCTGTGGGGTAGCCATTGCCAGGTTTGACCTCCACGAATTGGTCTAATCCCTTTTTCGACCTGGTCAAGCTGACAGCTGCCAAGACTTATCTCAGTGAATTCCAAGGTGGATAAAAATCAAGGATTTTTTTTAAATCACATTGATTTAAATCACAATTTAAATCAGGATTTAAATCTTTAAAACTATGTGGGGTTATTTTTTTAGATAGATTAAAAATCCATTTTAAAATTTAAATCACGATTTAAATCAAATCTATCCTGGTGAATTCCACTGTTTAACTACATGAGGCATGAAAATGCTTTAGTCCACAAACTAGCATTACTCCTACAGCAGGATGGAAGCCAAAACGGAGCAAAGACTTTGACCTTACTGCAGACAGCCTTCAGAGAAATACTTTGCATAGCATCTAATTTTGATAAGGTAGTGTCCGAGAAAGCAAAACGTTGACTTATAACCAGAGAACATCCCAACTCTGTCTTCATCAGCGCTCAAAACCAGTTCAGATCGCCACATTCACAGCTGGAACCCAAAAGCCACATGTTCCAGAACCCAGTTCTGGTTCATGTGGCCTACAACCCACCCAGGGTGATCCAGGGCATGTTTGCAGCCCCCCCCCCAACAGGTAAAATAATTTAGAAACATAACAAAGCTTGCTGAGAGGTTCAATGCAAAGAACAAAAAGTTAAAAAGCCTTGAAACCTCCCAGAAGCATCATCAGTTCTCACTAGTGGTTGGACAGTTCCTGCGTATTCGTATTTTAAAGAGTCATTTCCAAGTCTGTTGCGGCCCTCTGCGAAGTGTGTGTGTGGGGGGGGGCTGAGGATAAAACCTGGACCGCTCAGGCCCCCCCCCGGGATGGTCCACCCTGATCCAACGCAACGGGAGCTGAAGGAAAATGGCAAACGGGCAGCTGTGTGTGGATCCAGGCTGGAAGCCCAAGGACTAAAAGCGTGCTGCTTATAT